CAAAAAATAAAAAAGTTCCGAGGCATACAAAGTGGGTACGCCAACTTCACAATTATAGAATTTCCAGCGGGCACAGTTTTCTGACTATAAATGCTTATATCTATATACCAATCGTTAGTTCTTCGTTTGTTCTCGATAGTTCTCCAATATTGTTGTTAGATCTCTAAAACCAAATAGGTTATAAGGCATACAAAGTGGTTACGCCAACTTCACGATTATAGATTTTCCAGCGTGCACAGTTTTCTGAATAAAAATGCTTATGTCTATATACCAATCGTTAGTTCTTCGGTAGTTCTCGATAGTTCTCAAAAACGTACACTCAACTATTCTTTCAAACATTCACAGCATCGTTCTTAAATAGTTTAGAAATACGTTCAAAATTAAATGTGTTAGATTATTAATATATACCGAGAATAAATATTTTTATCTTATGATAAATTAGTTATAATAAAATAATTAATTAAAATTTAGTTTAATGATTTGCAAAAAGGGGGTTTTATTCAAGTTTCATGCCTATAGCCGGCTCCAGACTGTACCCACGCCAAGTACAGAACTGCAACTCGCCGAATCGCGAGGAGTATGACAGCAAATGCTCGTGTTTTCCGTTCATTGCCGGTATTTTTGCACACATCAAAGTGAACGTATATTTTTGCCATTCCCGTAACGAACAGTTGCTGGGAAAACCACAAATGTGTGTAGACGTTTTACTCGTTAATCGGCAAATAACAAGACGTTTTGATCGCCGAACGGCAAATATGTCGTGCTTTGGGAGTGGCGCATGTCTGGAGAGCTTATTTTGTTGACGGAAGAACTTCAAATGGCGTTTGACACGGCTTAGGAAAAGTTGAAAATCACTCTTATCTAGCAAAAATACCGGCAATGAACGGAAAACACGAGCACGAGCATTTGCCGTCATACTACTTGCGATTTGGCGAGTTGCTGTTGTGTACTTGGCGTGGGTACAGTCTGGAGCCGGCTATAGGCATGGAACTTGAATAAAACCCCCTTTTTGCAAATCATTATACTAAATTTTAAATAATTATTTTATTGTAACTAATTTATCAAAAGATAAAAATATTCATTCTCGGTACATGTTAATAATCTAACACATTTAATTTTGAACGTATTTCTAAACTGTTTAAGAACGATGCTGTGAATGTTTGAAAGAATAGTTGAGTGTACGTTTTTGAGCTACGTGTACGTGTGAGCGTTTTGTGTTTGTGCCCGCTGGAAATTCTATAATTGTGAAGTTGGCGTACCCACTTTGTATGCCCCGTAACTTTTTTATTTTTTGAGAACTAACGAAAAAATTTGGGAACTATCGAGGACTAACGAAGAACTAACGATTGATATATAAAGGGTGTCCCAATAAGAACGCCGGATTTGAAACGTTAACAAACCATATATTTTCACGCTAAATTTACAATATGATACATGAATCTTAAAGTATAGTATCTCCGATTAGTAATGGTATATTATGTCTTGTAAGTGCCCACCTGCTGCTTGCTGACAAGCCCGACATCTCTTGACAAAGTTTTCCATAACTTTTTCACACACTTCCTGTTGAATTCCATTAATCGCACGAATAATTTCCTCCTTCAGGTCTTGGATTGTTTGAGGATTATTGGCGAAAACAAGCGACTTTAAATATCCCCAAAGAAAGTAGTCACACGGTGTTAAATCGCACGATCTTGCTGGCCAGTTCCGATCACCATGTTTCGAAATTACACGTCCTGGGAATCGTTCGTGCAACAAATTAATTGAATCTCTAGAAGTATGGCATGTTGCGCCGTCCTGTTGAAACCACATGTTTTCCAGGTCCATCTCCTCAAGCTCAGGCCAGAGAAACTCTCGTATCATTTCCCTGTAACGTTCACCATTTACAGTCAAAGCATTTTCATCCTCGTTTTCAAAGAAGTATGGACCAATGACTCCATTTGACCAAAACCCACACCAAACTGTAACACGCGGAGGATATAACGGGTTTTCTGCAATGAGGCGAGGATTTTCAGTTCCCCAAATTCTACAGTTTTGCTTATTTACATAACCGCTTAGATGAAAGTGTGCTTCATCACTGAACAGCAAAGTTTTTGAAAACGCGTCATTTTCATCTTGATTGCCCACCACCCAGTTTACAAATTCAAGCCGTTTTACGGGATCTCTTGGCTTGATTTCTTGTGTTAGTTTAATTTTGTAAGGGAACATGTGAAGGTCTTTTACCAAAATTCTTTGTACTGTGCTCCGAGCTAGGCCTAACTGCTGACTTCGCCGACGAATCGATTTTCTTGCGTTGTCCTCTACACTATCATGTACAGCCTCAATATTTTCAAGGGAGCGTCCTGACCGACTGCGCACTGGTCTTTTAATGTCCAAAACTGAGCCAGATTCTTCGAACTTAGAAATCAATCTTCGGACAGATGACTCATTTGGTGCATTGTCCCGGCCGAAAATAACGCGCAGCTTCCGCACCGTTTCAGCGAAACATTCCCCGTACTTGTAGTGCACTTTAACCATAACCACGCGTTGATCCGTCGTGTAGCGATTCATGACTACAAATGGGACCTAATACTGATAACATCGCTGATAGTTAGGGAATTCCTATTGAAATACAGATAAGGATAAGACGCTCCTGAAATCCGGCGTTCTTATTGGGACACCCTTTAGATGTAAACATTGCTCATCAGGAAACGGCGTGCGCTAGAACACGGAAGTGTGAGTTAGTGTACCCACTTATTATCGGCTATAACTTTTTTATTTTTTGAGAACTAACGAAAAAATTTGGGAACTATCGAGAACTAACGATGAACTAACGATTGGTATGATCAAAAGTGGATACGCTAATATGGGTACGCCAACTTCACGGACCTGAAGAAGTAACATAAAAAATTACTTTATCAGTACTGTGTACCTATTCAACAATTTTCACAACTTCTCTATAGCAGTTTAAATATTTAAAGGATTCATTATCTATTCTCTTGTCACGTAATAAAGCAATAAAGGTATATTAATTGTTAAGAAGTGTTGGTGATTGGAGGAGGTCCATTATCAGATCTCCCAAGATCCCCATGGACTTCTGAGGTAATTTAATTATAATGGCCCACACTCATTACATCAAATTCCATTGCGCTGGCTCTGTGTAATTAACGTCCTCATAAGTCATATATTAAATTAAATTCATTTAAACCCCATCAAGGGGAAACTTTTTGTGTTTTCACGCCTTTATGGAATATTAAATTATACTAGTGTCCCTGTTGCTCGAATTCGAGCAATTGCTAAGTGTAATATATTAGCAAACTTATTGACTGTTTAGGATTAACCTATGCTCTTCTTCTCACTTTTGATTTCTGACAACAGCAGCTGGAGTTTCATAACAATTTTTGTTTCCAATGTTAATCTTATGGAGAAATACGAAACTTTAAAGGGCTCCAGGGCCTCACTCTCTCATTATTTCCCTAAAAAGTGTTGTAAAATGTTTCCTGCACAACTTCACGCTACACTCTTTCCAATGACACCAAAAACATGACAATCGGTTCAGTAGTTTCGGAGGAGTAATTGTCACAAAAATCCTGCTTGCGTATTAAATAAGTACGAGAGGTCGTCCAGTGGTCGAAACTCGACCAAAAATATGTAATGTACTCACTTATCTATTTTCACCCCACACTGTAAATAAAACATGTGATTGGAGTTTCCTCCATTTGTTTTGATTTTCTGTTTATATTTCGTTGTTATTTCGTAACCAGCATAGCAACGCATAAGATCCATGTTAATTTTTTCAAATTTTTAAACTCATTTTTTGTGCTTATCTTTGAGCCTATTTAAATTTATAAAGGGATTCTGCACACCTACAGGAAAATAGCTTTCCAACGGTATGCGTAGATTTTCCCTACGATTCACACGAGCTGAGAAAAAAGGTTTTAAAGAAACATGCTTGCCTATTAATATATAGATAGATAAATAGATTTCATGTGTAGGCGTGAATTAATTTGTATTTGAAGAGATCAATCAAGTAGTAGAAAAGAGATTTTTCTTTTTTCTTTACAATACAAATCGGTGCTGTATGGACAAAATTCACATTTTAAGCTTTTTATTATAAATTTACTGGACTGATTACTACTATACACAGAGATGTAGAGATTACAACTCAATGGTACACCTAACCCTTATAACCGCGGTGGGGATATGAGATACCATGAACAATAATTTTGTCATAATTTTACAAGTTTGGTTGCAACCATGGTGAGCATAACAGTAGCTACCTAATATAGCATATGCCATCATCTGGCCATCTGGCCGCAGGGTTGTTAGCTTGAGCTGTTAACACCCCCCTGGGTGGCATAACCCCGCGCATGCTTGTAGTTACTAGTTACCAGTACTCAAGTCCCTCCTACTGTGTACCGCCGTACCGGTACTAACTGATCTAAGATACTAAAAAAATGTCATCATGCACAGTTTTAGCCTGTAAAGAAATGCTGTATCCAATTTGATGGAAATTACCTCAGAAGTGCCTGAAGATACCAAATGGTATCTACGAAAAAAACGTGGGGTCCCATAGCCAATACCAGTAGCTCATATTCATTTAACTCTGTAGCACATTTCATTGTAATAGCTCCGAGGAATTTGAATCCAGGATAGCTTCGACTATTTTTGGACTCATGGAGGGTTTGTTGTGTTCATTCTTTCGCAGTTCTGAAATGTTGTATTGTAAAAACTTTATCATAGCTATGGGATATAATCCTTCGAATCCGTTGATGAGTGTATAATCGTCGTTAGCTTAGAATGATAAACCACCCCTTTATAAGACCTTCCCTACAAAAATAGATACCCTTTCACTTTCATATACTATAATAGGATTAATTGTTCATGTTGACTGCGCTGTTGGCAACATTGAAGACCAAATGTTTTTGCCAGTATTTTTCCTGCCTGCCAGTGCACTGCCTGCCTGGCTTTTAATTTTAAGAATCATGACCACAGCTCAACACTCAACAGCTGTTGTCAGGGTTGTCTGACTGAACTGACTGAGACTGGGACTCGACATTTTTGCAGGGAGCGTCTGTCTTTGTTAGTACTGTATTTTTGTTTTAGGGATATTTTGAAGTTGCTGTGTCTATTTCTACCGTGGTTGTGACAGTTCATTATATTATCTAAAATGGGTGTAAGAGTTTTTATATCTCTAATATCAGGAAACAAAGAGGTAACAACATGGATTTGTTAAGTATACTCGGCTAACTTAACCTTGTATGGTTTAATTTAATGGTAGGATGAGTCAACCATGAACCATAACCAATTAACTTGCCAAAAGAACGGAGTACCATATCTAATGGTTACAATTGTGTTTTATTGTATTACCAAGCATTGAACTATTTTCATTAACTTCTTAAAGTAAATTTCAATAAACCACTAAGTTAAGTTCCTATGTCCTGACTAGGCTAGGCCTAACTTAAGTTTTAAACATAGCCTACCAGAAGACAATAAGCTTACAAAACAGAATCAGCCACTGGGCTTTAGTTATACATCTGTTTATCAATAGCCTTAAAATAATGTTCCAATAGACATTTTGCATTTAATAGCTTTGCTTTAAATAAGAAACAAAGTTTGAAGTGTCGGCTTATTGAATGTTAAGAAATTACTATGTGATTTCTGTGTAAGATGTAGGCCTACTGTGTAAATTTAGTAAGTTTATAGCCTATTTTAGGTAATATTGGCTTATATTACCTACAGACTCCCTCTCATCCTGATTCCTCAGGACCGAGTATTCTTAAGTTACGGTCCGGATAACGGGTTTTCCGGTTAAACCGACGTCCCCAAAAACTCGATAAAACGGACCGTTTTAATACTGTCTACATTATTTAACCTAAATTTAGGAGAGCACTGTATTTAGAAACGTGATACTGGTAACTGGTCTCAAATCTTTCCCACAAGAACAGTCATTTTGGTACGGCTGCACTTTACTTGACGTCCTACACTCATTCGATTGTTTTTTTTTTTCGATTCAATATTTTCATTCGATTGTTTCATTCGATATATCGTTTGGTTAGTTAGGTTAGGTTAACCTTTCTGTACCTAACTAACCAAACGATATATCGAATGAAGCAAGGCTCATTCCACGCCAAATCATCCAGCCAAAAGTAGACTTGTCACCCAAGGTTTTCTGATTTCAATAACATTTTGCATAGATAATATATACATATAGGTAAGAAGAAATCCAAAATTTTATCTCATTCTGACCAAGGGCTTCAGAGATACGGCCATTTTAAGTTTCACACAAATTCAGTTTCCGAGGCATATTTTTGCGCTACACTGAAATGCATATATTCTTGTCTTTCTATGTAAAAAGGACAATTTTGAAGATATGGGCTTCAAATTTTACCTATATATCCAAAACCTAATGCAGAATCATATTACACAAGTGAAATGATAACTATTACCTATAATCACCCAAAAAAAATTCCTAAATACAAATAATTCGATTTTTCCGAAATCGGAACATTGAGTTACAAAAGGTTTCATAACAAAAATCTCTCTCCAGATAAACCTATAAAACTAGCCTATATATCACTGGAAAGAGGATAAAATTATCTTTCAAATGGTATGATAACATGAGTGGGGTTTTGAGTATTAACATTGTTATCACACGTGAAAGTCAAAAATTAAATTTGATTAACCTAAAAATTTCATTTGATGCCGAATATGGATGATGAACTTAAATAATACAAAAGGTTCATCAATTTAATATATGTTTGTACAAATGACTAGAAATCTAAAAATATGAAACAAAAAATTGGATCCTTAAGTTGTTATTTTTTGTATGAATTAAATATTTACTTATAAAAAGCCCTAACTAAATCGTCCTATATCCTACATTACTTTTACCTAAATAAAGGCTAATTATAGCTTTACAAGCAATTACAATTACATTTTATGCAAAATTTATAAGTTTACCACTCTCAATAACAAATAAAAAAATATTTATATTAATTTTTATAGATCAAAATATTAAATTATGTGTTAAAAAAATAAAAATAAAATTTTATACATAATCAATGTTTAACCAGAGTTTATATCAGTGAATGTGACCAGTGTCTGTGTGTGTTGGTGTGTTTGTCACTCCTGTGATGACATGAAACATGAAATATTCGAGAAAGGCTAAACATGAAAGGCTTGTTTCACATCTATCCGGCATGCCGTTAAACCGACTTCTAACCGGCACTGGCTTGGGTGCACCTTTCACGTTACGCCGACACCGGCACTCTGGCAGTTGTACTCCAGCTTGTGAAACTTGTGTGTCGTAGGGATGGAAATGGAATGTAACAGAGCAATTGCAATGATACTTCGAAATTACTTTTATTGAAACTGTATTTATATTTGGATTTTTTTTATTTCACTCAATTTGAATTTGAGTAAAATTTAATTCAGTGTTGTGTAATAAAATAAAATAAAAAAATAAAATAAAATTGAGTAAAAATTAAGTTTAAAAAGTCTATTCTGCTCTTGAACTAAATTAACAAGTAGATCAATGTCTATTTCCGACATGACCAAAACATTGCGAACAAAACCAAAAGTAATACTCAAATAACTACAAACAACTGAACTAAAAGTACACTTGGTGCACCCGACAGACGGCAGGTGCTGGTTATATGTGAACACACATATATGGTTATATGTTATGTCACATTGGGCCGCTACACCCACTACTAAAGCCGGCTTGTTTACCCGACACCGGCAGCCGGCCTTCGCCGAGGGGGTGCCCGGCATCCCTCGACTTGTACACAGCAGCCGGGCAAGTGATTAACTGACCATGACACATGCCGTGCATATGTGAACAGTCCCATATAGGCCTACTTCTTCACCCCATTGCCGGTTAAACGTTAAAAAATGTTTATCATGGAAGGTATTGCTGCACCAAGTCAAGTAGGCTAAGAACTAATTTGATTTGTACAGTAGGTAAACTGTCAGACTCTCCTTGTGAAAATTTTACATTAACTTAACACAAGAAAAAAATGTTCATTTTATTTTGAAAATCTTTCAAATGAATAACTATAAACATTAAGGTGGCACACAAATAATCAATATAATAAAAATGATTCAATTTGTTCTCATCATTTTTGTTACTTTTTGAAATATATAAAAAAAATCATGCTGTGACCCATTTAAAAAACATGTGGTATCCTTGACAAAGATTTAAGAGTGATTTCTCTAGGGAAGGCAAAAGAAGTTAAAGAACTTAAAGACATAGGTAACTTTAGTGCCAGGAAAGCTTTTGTGCAGCAATTGTAGAAAGTTATTGATTGTTGTAAACACTGGTTCAAAAAATGAAAAAAAATTCTGCATTTCATGATAGTGACGAAGATATTGACAAAGAGCTTACAAAAAATTACAAAAAATTTACGACAAAAATAGGATGTATTTGGTTTTGTTTTACGTTTCAATCAAGTTGTTTTCTTTTGACTTTGATGAGTAATAAAAATGTTAATACTCCAAACCCCATTCTTATTTTTATAACATTTGAAAGATAATTTTAAACACAAACACACCAACACACACAGACACTGGTCACATTCACTGGTAAACTCTGGTTACAAACATTGATTGTGTATTAAATATGTCATACAATTTTATTTTTATTTTTTAACACATAATTTAACATTGAAGTTTGATCTATAAAAATTAATAATAGGCCCTACATATTTTTTATTTGTTATTAAGAGTGGTTAACTTATAAATTTTGCAAAAAATGTAATTGTAATTGCTTGTAAAGCTATAATAAGCCTTTATTTAGGTAAAAATAATGTAGGATATAGGACAATTTAGTTAGGGCTTTTTATAAGTAAAAATTTAATTCATACAAAAATAACAACTTAAGGACCCAATATTTTGTTTCATATTTTTAGATTTCTAGTCATTTGTACAAACATAAATTAAATTGATGAACCTTTTGTATTATTTAAATTCATCATCCATATTCGGCATCAAATGAAATTTTTAGGTTAATCAAATTTAATTTTTGACTTTCACGTGTGATAACAATGTTAATAATCAAAACACCACTCATGTTATTATACCATTTGAAAGATAATTTTATCCTCTTTTCAGTGATATATAGTTTTATAGGTTTATCTGGAGAGAGATTTTTGTTATGAAACCTTTTGTATGACTCAATGTTCCGATTTCGGAAAAATCGAATTATTTGTATTTAGGAATTTTTTTTTGGGTGATAGTAGGTAATAGTTATCATTTCAATTGTACTATATGATTATGCGTTAAATTTTGGATATATGAGTCAAATTTGAGGCCTCTAGCTTAAAAATTGTCCATTCTACATAGAAAGACGAGAATACATGCACGCTCCCTTAGCATCAAATTGGACCTCGGAAACTAAATTTGCTCAAAACTTCAAATAGCCATATCTCTGAAACCGTTTGATATAATGAACTGAAATTTTGGATTTTATCCTATCTAAATGCCTAAATTATATGTACAAATTTTCATTAAAATCTGTGACTAGTGGGTGACAACCCCTGGATGACTTGACATGGAATGGCCCGCAATCGATTAATCAAAATATCGATTGATATTTTCATTCGAATGAGTGTAGGACGTCAAGTAAAGTGCAGCCTTTGGTACTATCCACTTCCTGCCAATCTAGTCTGGTCAAACCGATGTGCTGATAAAAATTTTATGGTTAAGGAGATGTCATTTCCGCCGAGTTTAGTCCGGTTTAACCAATGTCTGGTTAAAAGGTGTCTGGATAAGAGGGAGTCTACTGTGTAGGACTATTATTAAATACATAGGTCGGTATGACAAATGACATAGACTAGGCTATAACTTAAGTTATGTTTACTCAATATAGGCTAAGTTAAATATTGAACAAACGATTTCATGATCAATATAACTTAAGGCCATAGGCTAAGTTATAACTAACTAATTGAATTTCTAGGCAAAACATAGATTCTGTTATGGGTCTTTTCTAGCTGTGTGAATTAAAAGCAGCACTGTCCGGGTTGGTGGTGACGTCATACCCCCATCTGAGGCACTGACTAATTTTCATTAGCCATGGACCCTAGCTTATCATTTACAAAAATATAACTTAGGTACAATAAAAACTAAGCAGAGAAAAGTCCTTGAAGTTAATCATGGTTAATATTTTCTAATAACTTAACTAGGGATGAGCATCGATAGGTCAACCATCAATGGTACCGGTAATCTCTATGTCAACCATCGATGTACAGATGATATCAGTTGTCAAATCATTGATGTTTTCGTTGCTAAAACATCAATGTTTTTTCAGTTTTTTGTCTGCTCTCTGCACTGCCTCAGATAATTATCAGCATACCTACTCTACTAGCAATGATTAAAAACACTCCCTTGAGTTGGTAGGCTAGTATGTAGGCCTACCCCTATTCGATATTTCATCAGCCTTTTATTAGGCCTTGAACTTAAAATAAAAATAGGCCCAGGACCCTACATACGAAAATTCAATTTCTTGTTAAGCGTAACGTTTAAACATCCAAGCAAAACTTATAGGCTGAGGCTATTAAGTTAAATATCGATAGATAAACATCTAAGTTTCAAAAACATAAACTATCGATGCTCGTAACTCAACTAATAACTCAAATTTGAATAAGGTTTAACAAACAATTTAAAGTAGGTACCTACTTGACATGTAGCCTAATGAATATAAAATCTTAGATGATAAGAAGAGTTTTAATACATATTAAAACGCCCATCATCCAACATCCTAAACTACAGTACATCACACATACCCACATCGCACCCCATCACGCATAGGCCTACTATGCCCAGTCTTCTAAAAACTCATATTATCTTTAATGTTTGTTTAGTCCTTTAGGTATTTAAAAATTGTAAGAATCAACCCTCTCTTGTGTCATAGGCTAAGTTAAGCCTGGTTCGTACACGGGTCGAGTACGGCGGGCGAGTCAGTATACGATTTCATCGATTTGTCTCTCACTCTCTAACTCGCTTGTTGTAGACATGTAGGCGAGTCAAGCAATGGACGAGTCAGTAAAAAAAGATCAGTTGAGAGGGGGTCGAGTGATTTAGTTGAAAACCTGAGTTGCTGGGCCCAGTAACTACTCCCATCACCATGGGATTTGCCCGCAAATCATCTGTTTACTTTTGGCTGCCATTATTCAGTATTTTCAAGGAATGCATTTTAGTAATTTGTAGCAAATTTAATTCTCTTTCAGTATATTACCTTCCACTTTGGTCGAATTCCTCGCCATTTACAAGGTTATTTGCAAAAAAAGAGCTTTTGAGCAACCTCTGAGTGGTGGGATTTAAGTGGTGATTCAGTTTTAAGTCTTGTAATCTAATTCAGTGATAAATTCAGCATTAAACTTATGACGTGCCATTTTAAACTCAAACAACATGTAACACGAATGCTGGTATACGGAATACCCTACACCACAGAGATGTAATAAAAATTACTTCTCTGTGCCTAAGTTACAATGTCCCTGTCAGAAATAGGGATGCGTGTAGACAGTCTAGTCAAGTATCGGAATTGAATATTATTTTTTACTAGGACAATAACAATTTTACCTAGCAATAACATTTTTTTGGAAGTGGTCCTAACTTAAACATAACTTGTGTTTTCAGGTGAAGAAACGACAACAGAGAGTTTGTATGATTCTGGAAAGCAAACACATCCCTTATGAAGTAATCGATATCACAGAGCCTGGCAAAGAATCTGAGAAAGAGTTCATGCAACAAAACAGCAATGCCAAGGATGCAAAACACCCACTGCCTCCACAAATATTCAACGATGAAACCTACTGCGGGGTGAGTGTAAACCTTGTACTTAGGCCTAGTTGTATGAAAGTCTACTCACCTAACATTCACACCTCCAGCTACTAAACGTATACTAGTCAGAAGAAACTTGTAAACAAAGTTCCATACCACAAGACATTTTATATAACCAATTGTGCTAAAAGATTTAAACTAACCTAACCAAATAATGAGATCATCTTAAGAACAACATACACTTAAATAAGTAGACCTAGATAACTGGTCCAGGCTAGTTATAAGTGTAGTAGTAAACACTTTTTATACTTAGATTCCTTTCAGAGCCGTCTTTATAAAATGCGAGGCCTGGGGCAATACACAATTGCGAGGCCTTGTTTAACTAAGCTCACCAGGGGGTCTGGGGGGTACGGAGTACTACCCAGCTGAGGGTGGGGATCCGGGGGTCCCCTCCTGAAAATTTTTGTAAAATTATACTTGTAAAGTCGTCATTTTAAGCACTTTGACGAAAAAAATGAATATTTTACACTCTGAAAATGGGCGTGAATATTATTGCTAATTACACATTATTGTTCCAATTCCAAAGTGGATATCATAAATATTGCACACGAAATTCTTTACAATCATTAATAAAAAAAAATTAACACTTCTCCTATACTGTGGATTGTGAATTGAATTAACACTTTGTAAATTAAACAAAGTGGTGGGACGACAATTAATAGTAAATGCTTATAGGCTATCTTGTTTATTTATTTTTTGTAAAGTTAGGTTTATTGTGTTTTCGGCAGTTGGTCTGTGAAGGGTGTTTTAAAGGTAAAAAATATTACATAAATAATTGTCAATGAGATACTTGCAAATTCGTCATTTTAAGCATTTTGATGAAACAAATGAATCTTTTACACTCTGTAAATGGCCGTTAATATTATAGCTAATTGCACATATTATTGTTCCAATTCCAAAGTGGACCCCCCCCACCATCCCCCACCATATGACAGGTTCGTCGGTGGCGCCATGGTTGCGTGGTGTTGGCGCGCCAGGCACTGGCACCAGTACCAGAGAGTAAGCGTATGACTCACTCAAATTCACCGGGGTGGCTCGGTGGCTGCCGCGAGGCTCGGGTTCCGTTATCGCCGCCGAGCTGTCAAACGTTGTTTGATATTCTTTTGTGTTTTAAATGTCGTTCGTAGGTTTTTAATCGATACAACAATTGATATAGGCTAATTCATAATAAATAAGACATATTTTAGGCACATGTATCTGTCTGTCTTTTATTTTTTTATTTTCATTCCAAAACATTAACTTATTTCTACCGATAGTACTTAAGGCCTCGCCGGGCAGGCCTCGCGCAGCCGCTCCTCTCGCTCCACCCTAAGGACGGCGCTGATTCCTTTTACTGTTAAAATAAAATCAAAGGTTTATTTCCCAATAGACAATACAATAAATTGTATAATATGCAATTTACTTATGTTGACTATTCCATAAATGGAATAGTCAATATAAGGTATTATAATATTATGCTGGTAAACATTCATCAAGGAAGATTACAGGTAGAACATTAAATAATAAAATAAAAAATAAAAGAACAATAGATACAAAGAGATTATAAAATATATGCAGATGAGCGCAACTATATTTAAAGGTTTAGGAAGTTCTAAAACAACCGTTTAGTTTGTAGAATGGGTTGTTTACTAGCCACATATGAATTTTAGCTTTAAAAACTTTGTAAGGAAGCGATAGAAATTTGTTTTAAAAACTTTGTAAGGAAGGGATAGAAATTTTTCGGGCAATTTATTTAGACATTTTAGGCCCTGAATTTTATGACTTTTCTTTGTTTTACTCATTCTACAACTCTTTGTCCCAATGTTAGATAGGAATTGCAACTAAGAGTCATGGGTAGATCATTTATGGCAATTAAAAACAGAAGGGATCCCAAAACAGAGCCTTGAGGTACCCCGCAGTTGCTGAGGGCGATGGAGGACAATTCACCATCAGCATATACCTGTCTACGATTTGTTAAATAAGACCACAAAATATTTAGAGCACTGTTTCTAATTCCATAAATTTCAAACTTATGTAGCAAGATCTCATGGTCAACACAATCAAAGGCCTTGTTAAGACCAATGAAGACTGTGGCCCAGGCGAAATTTTTTTTTTTTTCAAAAGCCCTTCGTGCCTTGTGTATACAGCTGTAAATTAATTAGCCTAGCTCAGTATTGTTTACATTATGTTTTATTGTTTGTAAATATAATCTTAGAATATTAGTTTTCTATAGTTAAATAAAACAATTTCAGTTGGTTGACTCTCTTCTGTTACATAGCAATTTAGGATCTGGTGGCTCCACCCAAAATTTTTATTTTTAAGCCTTATTAATGATTTTTATGATTGATATCTTAACACAAATTAATATAACTATAGGTGATATCACTGTTCAAATATAGAACTTTTTGGAGGTCTGTCATTGGCAGTAGGCCTGATGGTAACTAACTTCAAAATCTTAGCAGCTGGCCCAGTAATAGTAGGCCTATTCTAGTTATAGTGAAATGGCAGTGGCACAATCAGGCCTACTGCCGATGACAGACCTCTAAACATTGGATATACAAACAGTGATAACACAGTGTCCCTAATAATCATTTGTGTAAAAACATAATAGTATATTGGGATTTAGTAGGTATTTATAAAATAAGATATAAAATTTAAAAATTCTTGTGGCGACAACTATAATATCCAATGAATCAATATTCCTCTGTGTTCTCCAATATCCAATACAGTGGAGTCCCGATAATCCGAACTTCGGTAATCCGAAAGTCCGCTTAATCCGAAACCAAAAAAAAAATTTTTAAATTTTTTTTATAAAAAAAATTAAAATTTTTGAAAATTTTTTGAAATTTTTCAAAATTTTTTTGAAATTTTTCGAAATTTTTTTGAAATTTTTCGAAATTTTTTTGAAATTTATTTTAGTTTTTTTTGAAATTTTTCGAAACTTGAAATTTTTTGAATTTTGTTAAAGTTTTTTTTATTAAACTTTTAACACAGTTAGCTGTACCTTGTCAACGTATTCTGTAGCGGCCGGGTGAGATAGACTTTTTTGTAGAGTATTTTATTAAATATTTCACAATTTTTTTTATTACTGTAACATTTTTCATTTTCGTCCACCAAATCACAAATGGATTTTATAACTGTAAGTGATAATGCTGCAGCCACTAGTTCTAGCCTTAAGTAATGTGGAAAACAATTCCAGGCTCGTGCCTGCGTCCTAAGACAAAAAATTTCAAAAAATAAAAAAAATTTAATTTTTTTTTTCAAAATTAAAAAAAACGTTTAATCCGAAATGGGCCCGGTCCCAACCATTTCGGACTAACGGGACTCTACTGTATCACAACTATAATATCTGTGTTCTCCTTAACTGTTCCCTTAAAATTAAATGATCCTTATAAGTTTTGGTACACTATAAGATTAAAGTTAGGGATTTTTAAAGAATAGACTATCAACTTTTTGTGAGTCCTAAGACAGCCTATAAGGTTGATAGATTCTCCTTGTTGATTTGCATCATGAAATATTGAGTTCACAAACGTTTTTCAGGACTATGACGAGTTTGATCTCGCAAATGAGAATGACGAACTGGAAAAGTTTCTGAAAGTTCCCGCCTCATCAGCAAGTGTTGAAAATGGACACGTCGCAAATGGAAACACTTCTAGTCGAGAGGTAAGTGCACGATAGCTTAACCAAGGTGAAGTATTAAAAATACAAATTTTCTAAATTTCTACAGACTAAATATGAATATCATTTTGAAAGAAATTAAAACTCTTAAGATATAAAGAATTCTTAAAAGTAGCAATTAATGTTTTGGCATTTAAATTATAATAAGAAAAAAGTCCATCTATAACATTAAAAAAATGTTGTAAACGATTGATCTGCTCAAAGTTTTGTCACATGATACATTTTTTAACTCTTCAAGTTAAGATGAAAGTGGATGTAAAAAACTACTTTCTGAAAGAAACCTTTATATTTAATTTTATAGACGTTCAACCAAACTGTTGCATTATTAAAGTTATACTTTTTCTACTATTTTACAAAATATCTTGAGAGATTATAATTTTCTGTGTAAAAATTTAAAAATGCACATTTTAGGCCTATATCTTATTATACTGCAATATACCCGGTGTTTCAAAAGTATTGGTGCAAAACCATAAAAAATAGATTTTCTGTTTGCCTTTATCAAAACGGCTATTTATTCCAACAATGGGAAAGGCATGTTTATAATTTGTTTTTTAATTGAGTACCTATGTAAGTTGTGTTTGTCTGGCTACTTGATTAACTGTGACAGACATGTTTAGTCAATGGCTACGTTAGTCATTCAATAAACAAGTCTGTCACAGTTAATCAAATAGCCAGGCTACAACAAAGCAGGAAAAAGTGTTTTGTTTTTATTTTATTTTACTGAAACTATAGCCATAATGACTGTGTACAACTTCCACAAACATTCAAGTGATAGTCCTCAAAGTAAATGTATACTTGGGTAGGGAAGTTTCAATTGAACAGTCACAACGGCTCCAGTCTAGACAAACTCTGACTCACTAAATACCTTTTCTTGCTTTAAAAAGCCATTTAACAAACTCCGACACACTTAATACTGTACATTTTCTTGCTTTTAAAAGCCATTTAATAAACACCTATGTCACTGTTAGTCTAGATGCTAAGACCATTACCAAAGTAACAAACTCCGACACACTAAAATACCTTTTCTTGCTTTTAAAAGCCATGTAATAAACACATATGTCACTGTTAATCTAGATGCTAAGACGATTACACAATTAAATAAAACTTATGAACATGCTTGCGTTGTTGGCATTAATAGCTGTTATAATGAAAGCAAACAGAAAATCTTAGTTTTGCACTATTCTTTTTATTTAATAAAGTTTTTTTTTGTTTTGAAAAAAAAATTGCATGTCTTCATTTAATAAATTTATATTTTCTGTTTCCTGCTCGTACTTTGATTTCTTCAATTTCTTGTCATTGTTTTGTCATTGTGTATTTGTGATTTGAATTGTTTGTTTGTGTAAGTGTCCTATTTGTTATTCTTTTGTTATGAAATCATTTTCAAATCGTTCATTTTGTCTTTGAATGAAATTATAATAACTTAGGCTACTAGGTTTTAGAGAGAGAAAAAATATTGTTTTAATATATAGCCTACCGACTTATGAAACCTATGTCAAAATTACCTAGCTTTTTTTCTGTTAATAGTAAGTTTACAAAAAAAAAAACTTTCTACAGTAGGACAGATAGGCTATGCAGAACAAATAATTTATTTTACAGTTAAATTCACATGTATTGAAATATTACTTGTGGAATCATTGTGTGCTTAACCAAAAGTCTAAATAGTAGTGCTTAGTTATCACACATTTGGTAACTCAAAACTAGTATGTTTGAGAGAACACTATTTTCTAACATTGTTTGGTTCTCTTATACATTTTAGGAAAACCAACTTGCCTTACATGTCAGATGGTTTTCAATATAATATTGCATACCAGTTCCTGCAAGTTAAGCGTAAGAAAGGGCCATGTGGGCCTAACCATAGACTAAGCAACACAAGTAGACTCCTCATCCTATTGTAAATTTTGATGCTTGTTTTTTGCGTCTAGTTCATGTACGTCCACACAGATCGCTAGTGTAGACAACATTTTGTTTCTATTATTTTACGGTTATTTTCATGATTTGTGCTTTACTATTTGGTTATATAACTAGGAGACCAGTTATTGTTTATGATTATATCGTTTTATTAGGTTAAACGAGGTTTTAAATGACTGCAATAACAAGAAACAAATTGTAAACAAAACATAACCTCTATAGTTGGACGTACAGAACTAACAATAAAATTGGCTTCAGCTGTTCCATTAGGATGACTAATCTACTAAGGGAGTATGTTTTATCTATGGCCTAACTTTGCCTGTTGAAATAAAGGATTTTTATTTAATTTAATTTCATTTACCTCCAAATTTAAAAAATTACAAGTATCTTTCCTACTGAAGGTAAACAATTTATCGCTTTGTCACTTAACTTGAAAAAGGTTAAAAATCACTAATCACTTCTAAAATACAGAAGAAAAGGAAAAAGAAAACTTTTGAAATAAATGCAAAAAGGCAACATTTTGTTTTTAAATAGATTGTCAATTATAAGAAACATCCGTAGAATAGAAACAGCCGATTTAAAAACAGTTCAAGATAAATTAAGCGGTGACAGTAAAGCTATAGCAGCCTCTGAATATTCAACAGGACACAATTACACAATTTACCGATACTGTCGACTTTTTCAGAACTCAGCAGAAAAGGAAGGAGGAGATCAACTGGTACCAGAAAGGTAATTTTTTCCAAAATTTGCTCTTTGCTCTTAAGTTCTTTAAATCTGTTTGATACTTTTTAAATTATAAAATAAAACAATGGTGCATCAATTCTGCTGTAAAAAAATCTGGTGCTGCCTTGCCTTTCCAACACACAAAGACCACCAAATCAAATGAGCAAAATCTTGTTAAAAATTATCAATGAAACCAGGATTTCTAAGGCAGTTCTCGTTACAATATCAATTTAGGAGTCCGCCTCCGGGCTCTTTAGTTCTGAGATGGATTTTAGGAGGTAAACACTGGTTCTTTCCATGACAACAAAATGATTACCCACAAATTTCAATAATAGTTTAGCTTACATTTTTCAAATGCTTGGTTAATCACTTTAAAGTGGCAAATTAAAACAATGAAATGCAAATTTAGTTTCAATGTTTCTGTTATTTTGATATCTCGGTGAGTTTGTTTATGTTATACATATTTATTTCCCATTCAAAATACGCTTTTAAGAACTGTGTGAATCATGGCCACAAAAGCTTGTACAACAGTTTTAAAAATTCCTGTTTTGGATGGTATATTTAATGCCAGTTTCTGTCTGTATGTTTTCTACTGAAGGACAAGTGATATTAGGATATCTAATCAGACCCATGACTAGTCCTTCCTCCTCAACAATATAACTCTAAAAGATAACAAGATAAAGCTAAAAATAGATTCTAATGGTAAAGCTATTAATAAACATATCAATCAATAACGGGCTATACATACATAAATGTACAATGAATGACAATTACTAATTAATTGCCAAAATGTGTACAAGTAATACAATTACAATAAAGAAACTAAGTCCTGGTTTTGTCACTGAAAATACATCAGTACTGTGAATTCAACGTGCATTACACACACACGAGTCTTATGTGGTGGGGCAAATCCAAGGTTATTATTCACCAGAAATAAACTCATGCAGATTTAAAGAACATGCTTATGCTTTAAAACCTCCCAATCTTCCAGAGCTGTTACCAAATTGCTTACTTCTGGTTGCTACCTTCTCCTGCTATCTCTTTTGATTACTTTGCCTCCTCTCTGCTTCTAGATTGAGCCGAGTGTCCAGACCACAGTTGACATTTCAGCTTAAGATTCGTATCAATTTTCAACCGAATCCAATAAAAGGAGTAGAAAAGTGTCCGGTGTTAGTCTGAGTAAGAATCGTAATGTAAAAGCATAAATGCATTTAACACTAATGAAAACTTTGGCATCATGACGAGACACATGGTTGGACATGGTGTATAGTGAAAGCTGCTTAAACCAACAGTAGGCCTAATTAAAATCTGAAGTTTGTTGGATATAGACAAGGAGAAACCCTGGGTAGGGACAGGAAAGAAACATTTATATGTGTCGCTGCACAGGTTGAGCAAAATTGATAGGAATTGACTATATTAACAAACTTGTATACATATCCTATGGTATTACAACCATAAAAAAACTTTGCCTTAACCAACACCAAAGAACTAACACATTGAAGTCTAGCTTTTCTCACATCATAATGGGCAATACATCAGGAAGAGATATCAAAAGGCAATCATTTACTTTGTTATTCACTGTCTCATACTCGTACCACATCGCTACATGGCAGTTTGTTTTCTTATTTTCATGATTGTCTGTTCATATTTCGGAAGTTAAACGCTGTAAGCTAACTACACTTTTGAGAAACAATGGTGTAAAGATATGCTTCTTACAAAATCTCTAGGGTTTATTCTGTTGGTTTAAGCAGTTGGAAGTTTAATAGGGTAATAGGAATGAACTTTAAAAATATTCACTAAAATCTTCGGCATTCTGTTGCAAGGTATTTTGCATTTTGACAATTTTTATCAATGACAATATTAATAATTATTTCCATAAAACTTTGAATGGGCTTGTGCTCCTTTTTATGATAACTCGAAACTAAGATATTTTTTCTCAACAAATAAAGTGACAGTGAAGTTAAAATACTAAAAAAATCAAATATAACATTAACTGAATGTGGCTTGTTTTCTTAAATAATAAATAATGTTATTTTTAATAAAGAGTTTTTAACATTAACTCATAATACCTTACTAAATACAATTTTAGATTAATAAAACATAATTACAGTTACTGGTTCAGTAAAACTAATAGCGTAATATTTATGGCTGAAATATTGTGAACAACTTTCACAAGTTTTTGTCTTATCTGCTATACAAATTAGACAGTTATTTCTCCAATATTGCTAAATTTAAAAAAAGTCTCACTGCTATGTGAATTTTGTATTGCAGAGATGAGTTGGTATATTTAACAGATATAAACCATCCACATGTGTTTGAATGGTCGGAGAATAAATAATGAACCTACTGAATTAGTGAACAATGAAGGTCGGTGTTTGGTAACGAATCAAATAGTTTGGCAAGCGATCTCTTTCTCTCTTAGCTATTTAATGTCTTGTTTACAACGCAACATTTTTTTACTCTGGCCAGTTGACAGTACTATTCGTTTTCACTTTTGACTAAGGGAAAATTGTGTTTGTAAAATATCTTTAATCTTAATACTTGTATAAGTTATTGTAATTAATTTGAGAAATTTTTGGAACACAGCATTTTTGATAAATGATAAATTTTTGTTGACACTATTATGCAGTTTGAAACAGCCAAAAATAAAGAGATTTGAGTTTAAGTAATTGAATTAAGGTGATATATTTGATAAATTACTAAGGCTTATTAAGCTTTTTAAAGATTTTTCAATGGTGTTGGTTATAAAATATAGTGGATTTTTTTAACTCCCCGCAAATTTAACTCCCTCTTAACCGACCCTAATGGGACCGGACCTAGGTCGGTTAAAATGGGCTTTCCCTAAATGCTTTAAAAAATTAAAAGCTATTCTTTTTGAATTACATAATCACTATTCTGAAGTTGTGCGTGTATTATTTACAAAATAAATTACACTTTACTTCCTGACGATGGAAAAGTAATAAATAAATAACCAAATAAATAATAAATAAATAACCAAAACACGGTAAAGTCAAATACTTTCAGTGGAATCGTAAGCATGTGTCAAAAAAATCTTTTTCAATACCTATTTTAGTAGTATTAGTTGATGTTTTAAATCCATCGTAAGACAGTAGGCTACAGAAATTATTGTCAAAATTAAAGATAAAAGCAGCTGTTTCTTTAGGAGACAGGATGTTTATTTATAGCCTGTAACATTCTGGTAGAGTTTAGCGTATTGTTCCCATCACCGAGCGATGGAGCGGAAATGCCGAGATTCCTAAAAAACTGCGGTTAAACCAAACTGATCTCAAAACAAGGTCGGCTAAAAAACTGTAATATTTTATGCGCGAGGGGAGGTAATCCAATTATCGGTTAATGTGAGGTCAGTGGTCCACTGTACTGTTATTTGTTATTTTAGGGGGAAATAAGCTGATATATCTAGCAAAAAGTCACATTTCTCTCCTTGATGTACTTATAAACTCCTTGAATTGGCTGAGTCGGAGAAAGTTTGAAATACTGTCTTAATACATGTTAGCAGTATAAATTTAATCTTTAAAGGTGTTTAAAAAAATTACATTTTACATTATTACATAGCTTTCTAAAGTTAGTTTTAGATTTAACCTCTACTGTCAGGGAGCAGCTATGGAACCCAAAGATAAATAGAAATCTTTTACACCCGGTGTCGTATAAAATTCTAATGTTAACTCCCTCAAACCTCCCCTCCAAATCTAAGTTGTTGCAATTTCCCAAAACTTCCCAAAAATTCTCACCTTGGGATAGTCTGCCATTTCAGAAAATAATAGAAACGGGAAGAAGTGTTCATGGTGAACTAATTTGTTTACCAGGAAATGTATATAATGTAGTCTACATCACATCGGCTGTGTCATGTTACTTGTGGTTTGTCAGTGTATGGTCAGATACATTGGTTACTCATTCATAAGATTGTTTGTGAATCATTGTTATTTGATGTCTGATTACTCTGTCATTTATTGCCTTTCCTACTCATCATTGCATGACAACAAAATCTTATCTTGTATTAGTTCTGTTGTGTTGGTGTTTGTATCTTTACTATGTCAATGTTTGAATAAGTCTGACTTCCTCAACGTTAGTAAAAACTTGATTTGCAAATAATCACAGCAAACATTAATAGTTTAGTTTTCTATATACTAAGTATGAAAATATAAGTAATTCAAATTCATTGACACAGATGAGTTTTAACTTGAACTATATCAGACCACCACGAAGGATCCTGAAGGTTCCAAAGTTTTCACAGTTTGCACCTATCAAGCCTACTGATGTTGATATAAAGCAATATTCATACAGAAACAACCTCGTTATCACTGGGGTTCCAGAGTTTGAAAACGAAAATATTGAGAAAATCATCCTAAAGATGGCTAAGGTCATAGAGTTCTTTGATTTCTCAATAGCCACTATCAATTGTGCACATAGATCAGATTGTTTTGACCCAATGAATATTGCCAATCGACCAATTGTGGTAAAGTTTATCAGACGGTTTGTCAAAGAAGAGTTTCTGAGAAAATTCAAGGCGAGGAGAATTCTAACAGCTGCAGACCTAGGCTTTGTTGACAAAGTTCCAGTGAGTGTAAGCGAATCACTCTCACTGAAGAGCCAAAGGCTTTTTAAGATAGCGAATGATATAGCACGGGCGAAAAACTACCAAGTTTGGACAGCCAATTGTAAGATTTTTGTGAGAAAATCACTCGGAGCAAAAGCAGTTGTGATAACATCTTTGAGAGATGTTTTTCAGCTGTAATTTTCTGTTTTTCGGTAAGCGTTTTCATCATTTTACGTCTTGCTGTTCATTAAATGGATGAAATTGTTTGACAAAATATGTAACAGATTGCGACTAACACTTGGACTGTTTTTATACAGGCCAACACATAGCTTAGTTGTGATTTTACTTGGACATTAAAGATGTTGCATCAATTTTTATTAACTAGTTAATTTTGGCTTGAGTTTGTTAGTGCATAGTTATTTATGAAAGAGATACTATTCAATAATGTTGTTGAAATCAAACAAAAAATAAGCCAGGCCTATTTATTTTCATAAAACTAAAATACAAAAAAAAAATTAAGCCTGGGATCTCAGAAAGGATTCATGGAATATCTTTAAGATAATTTTTTTAATTATTTTTGAACTTAGTGCCATTTTTCTCTGAAGTCTATTCAAAGGTTAAGTATTGCAGTTAAGATTTATTTATCACTGTGCAGTGCATAGGCTGATCCCGATCTTACTTAAAGTAATTTAATTATTGAAACAAACCAACTACAGATTACTATATGATCGGTTAAAATTGAGTCACTTACTTTTGATAATATCTTGTGCAGCTCAATGAGTCAAGGAAAGCTTCCCAGGTGCCAAACAAATTTCCTTGCCTTCCTCGTTAAACATTTTGTGCTCCTTTAAACTATCTAATCATAAAACTTAACACATTTACAGTAGCCTACATTGTGTAGGCCTATAAAGAATTTTTTTACTGTGTTACATTTTTAGTGATTTGGTAAAATCATTTTTTATTGTTGTTAGCCAGGAGAATCCACCAGCGGAGGACAGTGAGATGGTCGTTGATAACAATACAGAGGTGATATTTCACGTTTACTGTTAACAGTGATATTGCCTGGAACTAACTGGCCTGCTGATATTGACAATACTACCTCTGGTGTTTTTACTAGACTTAGGAACTTTGTGTGATAACTAAGATGCATTTAATCTTGTAAACTACTAAAAATTTGTTTTATGTAGCAATTAGATAGACAGTTGAATCAACACTTCAATGAATAACGTTTTTGTTATAAAATTAATTTTTAGTTAACAATTGGTAGTTGTTGTGTAAGAGAATTAGTATAAAGCTACTTACATTACTTACTTAAACTCTCAGGGCAATTTATAACTAAGTAAATTCACAGTAGCGGTTCACAGTAGCGTTCAAGACTAATTAGCTATAAATTGCTGGTTTGAAACCAATCGCCTAACTATCTTAACACTGCTGTTACCACTGTTTACATACTTTACTTACAATACAATTTAACAGTAGGCTACTTTTACAATTTTGTAACAGATCAGAAATTCTGTAGTGTTAAGCTAATGTCTGTATTAAGAAAATATCGAGCAGCTTCAACATATCCCTGCCACCTTCACTGGTCGTCTGCATTTTCTTCAGCTCAAGTTTAATCCAAATCCTCAGTTTGTGGGTTTTACTCCTGATTAGGGATTTTACAGTGGAACCTTGGCAACAAGACCCTCCATAAAAAGTCACCGTTTATAAAAGTTTCAAAGAAACTAACTCAATATAAATTAAAAAAAAAACATCGTTTTGACAATGACTATCGCACAGACTTCTTCTTCAATCTTTCTGTACTAACATTTTCCCATTACAAATTCGTTTTACTACTTTATGTGCATTGTGGTGCTATCACACGCGGCCTAACAGGGGTTCCCAGATTGGTTGCATATAAAGATTTCTTTGCTTGTAAAAATTATGACAACATTCATTGTGATTAAGCTCCCCCCTAAGAAGCCCTTAGTTGAATTGATAATCATAAAAAAAAATACAAACTTTGGAGGGAGAAATTGTTAAATAACAGTTGAGAATGTCAGTAAAACCTAAACATTACAAAGAAGAATACTGTAGATATTCTAATAACATATCTATTAAACCTATTTTTATAACTACTGTGAATCTTAGTACTTTAAAACCTCTTAATCCCCTCACTCAGAATAATCTTATCATGTCCGCGTAGTCTCGTCACACATTTCCCAAGCAAAAAATTATAATGTATTAGTGTACCTGTTGCTCGAAATTGAGCAATTATTAGTACCGGTACATCCATAATTTTTTATGAGTTTTAAAAGACTCAAAGAAAAGCTTATGTAACTAATGGAAATACTCACACTGTTAATAACAGTTTGATATAATAAACACTCCTTGTATATTATATCATATTTCAGAATCTGGTCTTGTTTTCTACAAATTTTTCCCGACTTACTGTACCCATAGCTGTACCAGTTAACATTTCTTACATGTATTCATTTGATCTGACATTAGCCAAGTTTACTTTACCACTGAGACAAATGATGTGTAGGCTTTTTTTCTATGTGTATTTTTTCACTTAGAAAATAAGTTGCACAACAGAACTGGCAAATATTATTCATCTCTCCAAGTGAGTGTATTTGGATTCCTTAATGTTAGACCAGACCTCTCTTCTTCTACTCTTCTCATATGAATAAGATCTCTTATTACGGTAGTTGTCTCTTCCTCCTGCTTTCAATGAGCCATTTTCTGATCTTCCAACAAAAATGATTAACTGTTTACATTGGTCTATAACCTCCTGAATATTACAAACATCAATATTTACTCCCAAAAAACTGCGGTTTCTCTTTATAAAAACCTGTTTTTTTTTTATTTTAAAATTGGTTGTATGTAATTTTAATGGGGAATTATCGACCTTTGATAGTACCTCGCGCCCTTAATAGTGGGAACCTTTAAATTCTAAAACCTTATTGCAAAACTGCAAATTGAGACGAATCTTTTGACACCTCAAACGTTGAAATTGGCCCACAAATAAGGGAGGAGTAGTGTTTAAAAAAACTTCTTCATGTATTTTAGATATAGTTGACTGTCAAGATTTTCCTCTTTAATCACCTATTAACGTTTTACATTTTGTTTCAGCCAGTAAAAGAAGAGGAAGAAGTAGTTGCTAAGGAGGAGGATGATGGGGAACATGAAGAGGAGGAAGAGTGAATCGCTGCCGAAGCAGAATATAAAGACTTCTTCATTTATTTATTTTGTCATCCCATTTCGTTTGAGATTTTAGTTTGCATGGCACCTTTTTCAGGTCTTTCAAAGCTATCTTTTTTCATAAATTTACATCTTTTGATGGAGGTTTGATGTTGGATTATTTCAAAGTTTGAAAATAAACTATTTAAACATTTTTGGTTCAGTCAGACTGTCAGTACAGAAGAAGAAAAAACTATGTGAATTAATGTTAATAATGGTTTTGAATAACATAAAGATTTTATGAAATCTTGATCATCTACATGTATCTATTGACAAATCACGAAAAAGCCATAATTTATGTAATCATTGGTACATAATTAAGTAGTGTTACGAGAGGAGCGAAACATATTTATTTTGTGGAAAAATAGTTTAGTTAATTATTACGGTAACTGAAATTAAATTGTATTTTGTTTGATGTTGCAATTGGTTTTTAATATGTCCAATTTGGTAAATAGATGACTCATTTAACGTACTTATTAGTACTGTACTATTACAAATGTATAAAAGAAATTGGAATACATTTTGAGAACTAATATTTTTTAGTTAAACAATGAGAGAAATTCCACCAAATGGAGTGTGAATTTATTGTTTATATAGTAAAAGTTTGTATAATTGATAAGTTTCATTGCAAATCATCTAGTTGACTAGTAGTAAATCCTGTGTCAATTGTTGTTATGTGCGAACCAAAACTATTATAGTAAATATTTACATCCAGTTTTATACCAAGAAAGTAGTTTTACTAATGTTTTGATGCAACCTCATTTCGCTAGTCTTTAAAAGTACAGTAGTTTCATTCAAGCTCAAATGACGTAACTTTTCATGGGTGTTAGGTTTTTGGATTTTATATTTTATGTATCATTAGTTTTATACCTGCATGCTGCATGATTTTTTATGAAGAATAAATATATATATCTTCTAGTGTGTCAAAGAAGCCATAAATGGTATATTTTAAACTTGTATTATTGACATGACAAATTTATTTATTATTATTATAACAAAGGTCAATGTTATTTGACATTGTGAGATTTAGATTTTTTCAAATAAAAATGGTTTTTTTATTTATTTAGACCAATTTACTGTAATGTGGTGAAAAAGTATAGTAAAATTTAATTTTAGCCTAGTTATATTAATTTTAATTTGTAGTTTTTCTGAAATTTTAATATCACAAAGTTTTAATGTTTGCATTCTAAGCATCTGCATTTTAACCTAACATTATCATCCAAGCCAAACTGATAAAACTGATAGTTATTATAAAACTATTTTTGAAAAGGAAATAACGACTAATTAAACTGTTTTTAATATTTGTGATGATCTAGGTGCATGTGCTGTAATGGCCAGTTCCTTTAACTAAAAAAAAAAAAATAATTGGGTAAACATTAATATAATATAACAAAAATTTAGTTGTAGTTTAGACATTGCCTACTTATAAACTAACATAAGGTAGCTTAAAGCCTCCACTGCCCCGAAGTATTATTTTTAACTGTGTAGTAAGTAACCAAGAAAGTTTTAACATAATAACACATGTAAAAATCGAATCCCAAAGATGTATGTGAATTAGTACTATAACACAAAGTCCTTTTCAGCTTGGTTACAGTTCTGCAAACTGTTGTTGCACTTTAGTTTATCCTAGTTAATGAAAGACTGGAGGTTGTACAAGCACTGGCTTAACATTTTTGGCCGACCTGCTCAATGTATTATGTTTGGTGTGAACTGTTAAGTTCATTTCACCTGCGTATTAGTGTATGTTTTGTAAGTGTCTATTCTCTTGATCTACTCCTACTGTCCTATGTGTTAATTATACGCTGTAAATAAATTTAACGCTATAATTTTTTATCACGAGTTGATTTAACATTGTTATATATTATAGTATTCTATACGCAGATTATATAGTCTTTATTTGTTTATCATCTCTTTTCATCTTGCATTATAAGGTGTCATTATTGATTGCTTTATTTATTCAATGTTAAATTGAGATTTATATTTTATTTTATTTCAACATAATTTTATGCTCCTATTGTCTTTATTTAGTATTATGTTCACTTTTCGTCAATAAACAATATTGCTTATAATTGTTCTCTTTTTATTTAACTAAAATACCAAACGTCTAGGCCTAACATTAAATTTGTTCTGTACGCTATGACTACTCTGAAAACGAATAAAGGTGGAGACAAATTTTCAATCAGACCTGCATTTGAAAGGGTTTCCGAGATAAAGAAATTTCCTGTTTTATAAATATGGCGAAAAACAAGTTTAACACTCAATACCAAGAAACGCATTCACTATGGCTATCCACACACAGTGATATATACATATTCCAATAAAGTAGGGGAAAACTACTTGTTTTGGTGTTTTGATGAACTTTGTCCTATATTACCTATTTATACCATTTCCTTTCATCTCCGTTCGTTTTGAGATATAGAAATAAGAGTTATAGTACATAACAATTTAAGCACTCACAGTTAGAGCTTCATCCATCTATTAAATTCTTAATTTATAATATGTACATCATAATCTCTAAAATATATCAAATCTATAAGTGAGTGTTTTTTAAAGGAAAAAACTATTGAAATTCAAAGGCCATAACGACCATACAGGCCATGACGAAGATAAATCAGTAATATTGAGCAACTAGTAAGTACAATTAATTCACGTTACTAGATGAACATACGAGCGGAGAGACAGACAAGGAAAACGCCTGTTTATTTTTGACGAGAGGTCGTCCAGTGGTCGAAACTCGACCAAAAATATGTAATGTACTCACTTCTCTATTTTCACCCCACACTGTAAATAAAACATGTGATTGGAGTTTCTTCCATTTGTTTTGATTTTCTGTTTATATTTCGTTGTTATTTCGTCACCAGCATGACAACGCATAAGATCCATGTTAATTTTTTAAAATTTTTAATCTAATTTTTTGTGCTTATCTTTGAGCCTATTTAAATTTACAAAGGGATTCTGCACACCTACAGGAAAATTGCTTTCTAACGGTATGCGCAGATTTACCCCACGATGCACACAAGCTGAGAAAAAAGGTTTTAAAGAAACATGATTGCCTATTAATATATAGATAGATACTTTCCGCAGTAAATTTATGTAATGCAGGTAGTGTTGGAGATACGTGTGTGCTTATTTGAAACATGGCACAATCGCCCCGCTTTTAACAAATCTAAGGGGTGGCGGAATTGTACCCCCCTGGAATTGTACCCCCTGCTGGTTTGTGACGTCACGATGACGTCTCATTTTCTCGACCAAAACGGCGTGTACGGGCTGGAATTGTACCCCCCTCATAAAACTTTGATATTGTTATGCACGTGTGGTTTGATTAAATCCACTGGCATCTAAAAAACTGTACGGACCGGAATTGTACCCCCTGGAATTGTACCCCCTCAGTTAGAACTCACTATTATTTGACCAGTGTACGGGGTGGAATTGTACCCCCCTGGAATTGTACCCCCCGTCTGTCTAGACCTTCTTATAGGACCGGAATTGTACCCCCCTGGAATTGTACCCCTTTGGAATTGTACCCCCTGGTCACGGCAGAAGAAGATGTACGGCCCGGAATTGTACCCCCCTGGAATTGTACCCCCCCCCATTTAACCGAGGAGCTTGTCTATTATGATTACCAACTAAAATTAAAACAATAGTTATGTTGGATATTAGAGGGGAATCACACAAATATGAAATGAAGTAAGTTACCCGACACCTAATGAATTGCTTGTTGTAAAAGGATATTCTAAGAAACTGCAAATTAAGGCCATTCAGAGTAACGTGCGAGAGGCCTAACAGACTTATTTGTACGTTATTCATTAATATTTTCTTAACCTTCCCAAGTACTAACTGTTCATGGGTTAGCTTAAATTAACAAAGGTTAACACTTTGACAAACTGTGAACTTTAAGGGTAATTTACTTTGTACCAGATACCTACATTCGGGACCACGTAAGTTTGCAGTTGAGGGAGGAGCCTATTTACCATATGGTTTTGAATGGACCAATGAGAACCGTGCGGTGTTGCCAAATCTAATAATACCAGCTGATTTGATAATATTGCTTAGTATATTTTAATTAGTGTTGTCAACGGGCGATGTGTCAAAGTCGCTCTAGCCTTGTCTTGTGATTGGCTGGCACCATCTGCAAACTTACGTGGTCCCGAATTAAATTTTACAACAGGTATTTTGTCTACCTTTGCCAGTAATAACTGTTCATAATTTGTTACCGAATGAACAATAATGCACATTATGTTTGAATGGACAAAAATGGAATACATCAACTTCTTTTCACGGTCATATTAAATTACGATGAAAAAGAACGAAGAAAAGTGACGTGAACAAATAAACATTCCACTTTTATAGCGTAGTTATTGTATACAAACTAGTTTAGCTTAGTTATTAGGCCTATGTGCAGTAATCAAAAGGTAAGTATTTCAAATCTATATAACCAAGCCGAAATTTGCTGCTTGCGACTCCTCTTAAAAACAAAGTTTCTTAGGATTTGCACTGCTTGTATCGTTTAAAAAAATCAATTAGCTTGGGTTATAAAATTATTTAGAAGCTTTGTGCATGAGGGAATCAAGCTCAGCATTAATTCGTAAACGTTTATTCCTTATTGCTTGGACTTTTATTAAGTCACTAAGGAAGGCAACAGGTATATCCAGCGATCACAAGAACATCGCAGTTATCCCAAAAGATCACAGCAAATTTGTCGTCATCTCCCACGATTACGGCAACGCTGTTTGTTATCATCTCTTGCGATACAATGTGATACAATGTGGTAATTTACCGATAACGCGATTTAAGAGACACACAAAACAAGACGTGATAAGGTAACTAACCACATTTGGAATACCAAATGGTGCATAAGGGTGTGTGGTTTGTTTACATTCCAAATTCCAATGGGTAGGTTAACCAGATGAAGCACCCTCGCCTATCTGGACTAGTGTCGGCGCAGTACGGGCGTTTGCCAGAGAGACTCTTCCATTGATTGTAATGGTAAGGCGGTCGTGCACCAAGACACAATACATACGCAACGTTGCCAGTTCTCGCTCAACGTGGTCTTATACAGGGTGATTTTTAAATGAGTTCCCCCCCTACTTTTTTCTACATTTCTTAAGATATCAACTCCGCACCACGTCAGATCATTGTAGAGTAGTAAGTACTTCATTTTGACTGGGTATAGATTTTTGGCCGCCATCTTGGATCCGCCATATTGGATACAAAGTTTTTTTTCAAATGTAAAGGTAGGGTTGTGACCCATTATTCCAAACTAACATTTTACGCTGATTACAATGCAGCAATTAGTTTTTACAAATCTTGATCCGTTCTAAAGTTATAAGGACTTTTTATAACTTTATTTTTAACCCATTTAAACATTGTGCATTTACAAACTAAGACCATAATCTCAAAATAGTGCTAGATTAAGATAAGTATACACCACCATTCATTGTCGACCTATTTTCACTTGGTTATGACGGATGTATTTTTTTGGCTGCCATCTTGGATCCGCCATTTTGAGATGTGACAAATTAATTTAAATATGAAGGTGGTGTTGTGACCCATCATTTTGAACTACTTTTTTATGCTGAACTCAATGCCGCAATCAGTTTTTCATTTGCATGTTTGGTTTTTGAATTATAGTCAGGTTGGGTAGCAGAAAAATATTTCAGTTCTGGCAGACAGGCTGCAATTTTAGGTGGTTATAGTATACAAGTTTCTGAACCTAAAACCGCCCAGACCCCAATTTTTAAGGACCTCGGTCGTCCGTAATGACGTCATCAAAATGGCGGCCGTAAGAGGATGCTGGGTCCCCATGAATTGGCTATAACGACCGAATGATTGAAACGATTTTCATGAAATTTGGCACACAAGTGCTTGAATACATTATGTCGGCCTGGGTTGAAAATGGTCAAGTTTCATCAAGTCATTTCAAAATGGCGGCCATTCAAAACTAAAAAAATTATGAGGAAAATAATTGTGAATTGTTTTATACAGGGTGAGTTTTAAATGAGTTCCCCCCCTACTTTTTTATACTTTTCTTAAGATATGAACTCCGAACCACGTCAGATAATTGTAGAGTAGCGATTACTTCATTTCGACTACTTTTTATTGTATCAGTTTTTTGTTATCAAGCTTTCTTGATAAAATATAACAATTATTTTTATTTAAAATGTCAATATTTCAAAAACCAAACATGACAATGGAATACGGATTGCAGCATTGAATTCAACATAAAAAAGTAGTTCATAATAATGGGTCACAACACCACCTTCATATTTAAAATAATTTATCACATTTCAAAATGGCGGATCCAAGATGGCGGCCAAAAATGTAAACCCAATCAAAATGAAGTTCTTGCTACTCTACAATGATCTGACATGGTTCAAAGTTGATATCTTAAGAAATGTATAAAAAAGGAGGGGGGGAACTCTTTTAAAACTCTCCCTGTATAAAACAATTCACAATTATTTTCCTCATACTGTAATTTTTTATAGCTTTGATCAGCCGCCATTTTAAAATGACTTGATGAAACTTGACCATTTTCAACCCAGGCCGAGATAATGTATTCAAGCACTTGTGTGCCAAATTTCATGAAAATCGGTTCAAGCATTCGGTCGTTATAGCCAATTCATGGGGACCCAGCATCCTCTTACGGCCGCCATTTTGATGACGTCATTACGGACGACCGAGGTCCTTAAAAATTGGGGTCTGGGCGGTTTTAGGTTCAGAAACTTGTATACTATAACCACCTAAAATTGCAGCCTGTCTGCCGGAACTGAAATATTCTGCCACTATATGCAGCTATACGACCCCACTATTATTGAAATTTTAAATAAGATAATTTTAATATTTCATCAAGAAAGCTTGATAACCAAAAACGGCCTCCTAGGCCGCGGCCTTCGAAGTGGCAACGCCGCAAGTGGTTTTGTAACAGCTGTTTAGTTTGGAAGCAGCTAATGTTATTTTTGTATTTACGAAATATTGATTACTGGGCTATGACAATATTGAGTCTGCTTAAAATGTACGGATATAGATTTTCAATCTATATAATTAACGCTACATGAAACTTTGTCGGTTG